GAGGTGAGTGGATTGCCCAAGCCCGCGGGTTCGAGACCCGCCTGGGCAACTTGGTGAGACTTCATCTCTACAATAAAAATAAAAAAATAAAAAAAAGAAAAATCAGCTGGGCGTGGTAGCGCATGCCTGTAACTCAGGCTACTTGGAAGGCTGAGGCGGAAAGATCGTTGGAGCCCAGCAGGTCCAGGCTGTGGTGGCCGGGAGCGGCCACTGCACTCCAGTCTGGGTGACAGAGAGTCCAACTCAAAAAAAAAAAAAAAAAAAAAAGAAAGATATTAGTTGGACATGGTGGCTCACTCCTGAAATCCCAGTATTTTGGGAGGTTGAGCAGGATTGCTTAAGGTCAGGAGATTGAGGCCAGCCTGGGTAACATAGTAAGACTCCAGTTCTACCAAAAAAAAAGGAAAGAAAGAAAAATTATTTGGGCGTGGTGGTGCGTATCTGTAGTCTCAGCAACTCAGGAGGCTAAGTTGGGAGAATTGTATGAGCCCAGAAATTCAAGACTGCAGTGAACTATGATTGCAGCCTGAGTGACAGAACAAGACCCTGTCTCCACAGCCTTGAACACTTGTGCTCAGGTGATCCTTTCACCCCAGCCTGTTGAGTAGCTGGGACTAAAGGCATGCAGCAACTCACCTAATTTTTTGTAAAATCAAGGCTCACTATGTTTCCCAGGCAGGTCTTGAACTTCTGGCTTCAAGTGATCTTTCCCTCACCTTGGCCTCTCAAAGTGCTGGGATTACAGGCGTGAGGCACTGCGCCGGGCCTACACATTTTAAATACCACCATGTATATACATATGTAAGTGTAGGTGTGGTCAAAGTAAAAGTCGATGGTCATGAAAAGGTGGAAAAATGATACATATTTATTTTTATGTATTTATTTTTGAGTCGGGGTCTCAGCTCTATCACCCAGGCTGGAGTGTAGTGGCACACTCATGGCCACTGCAGCCTCAACCTGCTGGGCTCAGGCGATCCTTCCGCCTTAGACTTCCACGTAGCTGGAATCACAGGCGTGTGCCACCACGCCCGGCTGAGTTTTTGATTTACTGTAGAGATGAGGTCTCGCCATGTTGCTCAGGCTGGTCTCGAATCCCTGAGCTCAGGCAATCCTCTCATCTCTGCCTCCCAAAGTGCTGGGATTACAGGTGTGGGCCACCATGCCTGGCTGATACATATTTAGATAGTTATACTTACAGAATCCTTTGAGTAATATAAGCAAAAGAAGGTGCCACGTGGTTGTCTTTCTATTAAACAGATCTAGTGGTTTCTCCTCTGCTATATTCCACTAATAATCCAGAGTCAATGGAACAGTCAGATTTAGGGCAGCACTAAAGGGATGACAGAATTAAAATATGGTACCAAAGAAAATATTGGCAAGCCATTTTTGAGACTGCTATAATTTTAAAAGATGACTGTTTTAGGTACTTACAAGCAAGTTCAACACCAAAAGTTTAAAATCTTGGAGTCAGAGAAATGGCTAGTCATATGGCATCTTTATTTTATTCTTTTTTGAGTCGGAGTCTCACTCTGTCACCCAGACTGGAATGCAGTGGCATGCTCCTGGTCACTGCAGCCTCACCTGCTGGTCACCTGCTGGGCTCTGGCAATCCTTCCACCTCAGGCTTCCAAGTAGCCAGAACTATAGGTGTGCACCACCACGCCCGGCTAATTTTTTTTAAAATTAATTGTAGAGATGTGGTCTCGCCAAGTTGCCCTGGTGGGTCTCGAACCCGCGGGCTCAGGCAATCCACTCACCTCGGCCTCCCAAAATGCTGGGATTACAGGCTGAGCCACCAAGCCCAGCCCATATGGCATCTTTATTCATATTCTTGCTCACAACTTCCTTCAGATTCACCCTTGACACTCGCTCCATGTTAACTGGGGATCTGGTTAGCCACCTTTCTATATTTAATCTGTATTTAAATCCTTTGTTTGCCCTACTTTGTGTCATCTGTTCCACTGAGGCTGTTCATAGAGTCCTCCTGTCTTCAATGAGATGAAATCCTAGGGTAGCAGGGATTGTGTTCTTTACTTCTTCTCTGTCCTCCCCATGGGCCCTTTCCACATGTTAGCACACAGAAGTGCATAACTGATGTCTCTAAACGTGTTTCTGACCTTCTAATTTGCTGCAACGTTCTTCCAAAGTCAACACTTTCTGCCGATCCTCTTCCCATGACAGAAGCTGTCTTTGATGCACCGCAACCATGTCATTGAGTTCTTTATCTCGATCTTTTAATTCTCCAATGAGCAACTGCAGCTCCTTCCGTTGTTTCTCAATAGTGGAAATCTCAACTTCTGACCCGATGTTCTAAACGCAGAAAGTGGTTTTACATCAAAACAAAACTAATCGATCATATCAATCAGCCGAAGAATAGTTTCCAAATAATTATATCTTTCTTTGCTGCCAATTCTAACTAGTTAAGTTTTATTCACTGTTAATAACATGCCATCAAAATTATGCATGCTTATAACAAGTTCAAGTTCAAACCTACCAAGCACTTCACCTCTATCATTTTCTGTCATGCCACGTACATCATGCCTAGAAAGTAGGACTGTTTCTAAAACCCGTTGGCTAACTACAAATAAACCCACTTCTGTATATTTTCTTTGCTGACAATTTTTTCTTATACCAGTCAACAATATTATCTCCCACCTTGGCCCAGCAATTTTAGAGTAACCGAGTCAAAGTAAACATGAAATAGTTACTGTTTCAGTGTAAATAATTCTTACTAAGAAATGGGAATTTTAGTCTATAAAAAGGGAATTCAGTCCTACAGTGGTAAATATCTATTACAACTACAATATCTGTGACGTCTATATACCCTCAATCTGCCAAGGATAATTTAATATTGTGACTGGTCCAAACTCAACATACCTAGTTAAAGACTAAATTTTGTAAGGAAATATTCACATATACACAAGACAATAGTACAATAAACTCCCATGGGTTCTACCATTATCAAGATTTTGCTACGTCTGTTTCAATTTTCCTTTTTATTTTTGTTATTGATAAAAAGCATGCCATTTACTGATTGTCACTTTTCATAAAAAATAAAATAAAAAATGCAATTTCACCTTTACATACTTCAGTATGCATGTCTAAAAATGAACATTTCTTATACAACCATGATGCCATTCTTATACCTAACAATATTATCTGCAATAATTCCCTTTTTTTTTTTTTAAAGTCAGAGTCTCACTCTGTCTCCCAGGCTGGAGTATAGTGGCATGATCACAGTCTCAACCTCCTGGGCTCAAGCAATCCTCCAGTTTCAACCTTCCCAAGTGCTGGGATTACAGGCATAAACCACCACACCTAACAATAGTTCCTTTTATATGTGTATCACTTTAAGGTCTAGTGTGCTGAAGTTGATATGATCAACGTGTGAATCCAGAATTAGCCACTTAGGTCTATATAACCATGGGCAAGTTACTTAACTTCTCTAAGCCTTAGTTTCCTCACCTGTACAACAGCAACAATGTACTTTAACTTCTTAGAGATGCATAGATTAAGTAAAATAAACTTTGTAAATTACTGAGCACAAAGCATGGCATACAGTAAACCCTCAACACACAGGAGCTATTATTAAGACTGCAAATAACATCTTGAATTTATGGTATTGTCCTTGTCTATGAAATAAAGAGCTAAAAGTGTTGCTTTAAGAGTTTCACTAAGTCACGCACAGTGGCTCATGCCGTAATCTCGGTACTTTGGGAGGTGGAGGTGGGAGAACTGCCTGAGTCTAGGGGTTCGAAATCAGCTTGGGCAACTTGGTGAGACCTCGTCTGTACAATAAATAAAAAAATTATCCCGGCATGGTGGTGTGCACCTGTAGCTCCAGTTACTTGGAAGGCTGAGGTGGAAGGATCATCTGAGCTCAGCAGGTAGAGGCTGCATGCCATTACACTCCAGCCTGGGTGACAGAGTGAGACTCCTACACACACACAAAAAGCTGGGGTCGGTTACTCAGCCTGTAATCCCAGCACTTTGGGAGGCCGAGGTGAGTGGATTGCCTGAGCCCGCAACTTCGAGACCAGCCTGGGAAACTTGGTGAGCCCTCGTCTCTGCAATAAAATAAAAAACTAGGCGGACACAGTAGTGTGTACCTATAGTTTTGGCTACTTAGAAGGCTGAGGCGGAGGATCAGCCGGAGCCCAGCTGGTCAACGCTGGGGTGGCCTCTCTCTCCAGCCTGGGTGACAGAGTGAAACTCCGACTGAAAAATAAATAAAATAATAATAATAATTTCCAGCCAGGCGCAGGGGCTCACGCCTGTCATCCCAGCACTTTGGGAGGCAGAGGCTAGGGCACTGTCTGAGCCCAGGGGTTCGAGACCAGCCTGGGCAACTCGGCGAGACCTCGTCTCTACATCAAAAAATTAGCCGGGCGTGATGGCGTGTGCCTGTAGTTCCAGCTACTTGGAAGGCTGAGGCGGAAGGATCCTCCGAATCCAGCAAGTCGAGGCGGCGGTGGCCGTGAGCGTGCCCCTGCACGCTGACCCCCAAAAGTCAAGCAGGAGCCGTGCTCGGCGAGCAGCCTGGCTGGGGCCGCCCGGCGTCTTCCTTCCCGCGCCGGACGGGGCCGGAGCCGGAGCCGGGGCCGCTCACCTGGCGCCCGGCGAGGAAGGTCGCCGGAGAGTTCATAGGGTTTCCTCCGCCCCCGGAAC